TGACTTGTCTGACTTTTGTTCCTTTTTCGACTTCCAAAAATTTGTCTCCACTTTATTTGCATATCAATCAACAGGTTGTGTATATAAACCTGCTTTCCCCTCTGGTCTCTCAGTCACTGACGAAAGCTAGTGGATACTAGCTGAAACGTCTGACGTTTTCAAAATCATATCCAGTTGCTTGAGTAACTATTTTTTTCTCAATGTGGTTTGCATTGTCTGTTGACTGAGCATCAGTCCATCCCAGTTAAGATACTGTTTAGTTGAAATTAAAAAGCATGGAAACATCAAAATTTCTCAAACTTTCATATTTTGGTAGGAAATTGATGCTGTTTGCAAATAAAACCAAATAAAGCTGAATATCACATGCATTATTTTTTTTCTTTTGGAGTGTATAGCTTCTACTGACTGAAGAAAAGAAGCGGATGCTTCTTTAAATGCCTGATAGTTTTAAAAATCTATCCAGTTGCTTGAGTAACAGTTTTCTGCTAATGCATCTCATCACCTGCATGTTTCAAAGCCTCCATCGAATCAGGGGTACTTATACAAGTTATAGCTAAATCTGAATTTACATTTTACAAAAAAAAATGTAATTAACCTCAAAAGATGTTTATATTCAATACAGTCAAAACTGTCACTGATGGCACTATGTAGGTTTAACCACAATTTAACACGTCAACCTTTCAAATGTATGTTTGGAAATACAAACTTACCAGTTCAATGCCTTGGTCTTCCTCTGTGCTGGGTCACAAATGTTCTCTGTGTCTTCAAGTCAACTGGTTTGCTAAGCTCTCATACGGTCTGCATTGGACAGGAGTTGCCGGTCATCACAGGTTTCTCCCAGTCAGCACAGGAACATCAAGACACAGCTACATTTAATAAGGAAAGGAGTTAGTGAGTTGCAAAAATATCTCCCATTCAACACTGAATGGCCATTAAATGATAGATAAGAAACTTGAACAATTGAACTATCCCTTTGCTTATCAATAAATCTGATGGAGAAAAATGAAAAATGCTGTAACATTGATAAAAAAATTCAGGCTGTGTGTTATTTCTTTAAAGTTACAGTGACTGTAATTCTGACATATTAGCAACAGAAAGAAGTTACCAAGTACTATATACAGATATAACAAGTTACACACTTTCCTCGAATACACCAAGGACGTTAAACACGTTGAACGTCCTTGAATACACCAAGCAAGTGGAATTTGCAAAATGAAGAATTAACTCAAAGGTTTTTCTCACCTGACATTCTTATAGGGTCTTCTGGGGTCACCTCGTCTGGTCTGGTCCAATCCAGTCTTGTCAGGTTCAGACAGGAATTCTCGCTACTGCATAAGTCAGCAGCCACCTAACTATGTAGAGATACCAAGTTACACACTTGTCTCAAATAATCAAGGAAAAGGTATGCAAAAAGTACACCAGAAACTTTTGATGCCATTCTTGAAGAGCTTAAAAGTCATGTTTAAAACATACAGCTAACACCTAAATCACCTAACTGTATAAAGAATAATCAATTTAGGGTATTGATGAGAAAAATTGTACCCAGGAGGAGACTTGTCATATAACAACTTTTAAGACTTGCTATGCATTTGTAGACACTCAAGGGTACTCTGTACAGTTGGTTTAACACAATGTCATGTATGTGAATATTACACTAACTTTATACATGTACATAAAATTTAGAGGTTTATTTTTGGTTTCATGAACTTGAGGCCACACCAATTTAATTTGTTGGCTCTCGGTTTCGCCTCTTCATTTTTTTCTGATTTGCAAAAAAAAATAAAAAATTTGATTCTGGTCCTGAATCAACTGAAAAATTCTCATGTTTTGCCCCCAACAGTTGAGGAAAGTCCTTTTCTTCCTAGTTGTTACAGTTTTTCCATCTATCATTGCAGTGGTTTGATTAAAAGATCAAAATTCAATGTTTAAATTTTAACCCGGCCTTTTGTGTTGACTTCATGGCTCATTCCATAGCATTTAAGCCTATAATAGGATGCCTAGACCTGTTTTTATTTTTATTTTTTTTCGCCCTGTCGCTTCATATTTTTTCTGAAAAAATCCGAGAACCAACAAATTAAATTGGTGTGGCCTGAGAATGTTCGATGTTTAATTAGTTGGTTCTACGATTAAACAAAAAACAAATCAGAATGCACGTAACAACATTACAGAATTCATATCCAATACCTGAAATTATTGAAGCTTCAAAAACAGACTTTAGGGTAAAAAATGAGGAATTTGGGGTTGACACAGAACCTGAATGTTACAAGACAGTACATGTTTTTTTTAATCAGGAAAAAAGGCTGGCAAATCCAAGAAACAACAAGTTAAAGTGGTGTTTCTTTGTCGTTTTATCCCAGTCTGAAATGTATCATATCGATAGGCAAAATTTCTAGTGTTTTCCATGAGGGAAATTCCCACAAATATTCTACCCATGTTTCCTTTCTGTTTCACAGACAAGGGGCAAAATTATTAGACCAGGTATACAGAAACAAACGCCCATTCCTTTCTCTTGAAACTTTAACTCAAGAGTAGGAATACCTAACTGTGATATTCTGGGAGAAGACGTGAAGAGTGAATATCACAGTGAGATATATTGAAACAACAACGACCCCAAACTACACAAACTATCGTGTTGCATTCTCAAAATCACACAAATTTACCACGAATATACCGAAACGTGTTGTTATCAGTTTGTGGGAAATAAATTCTGCGGCACGGCTTGTTGCCTTACCTTGTGAAAACTCAGCCCTCCCCACGACCACGCCGCCATCCTTCGGGCGCCATTTTCTCTTCTTCTCCAAAATCCACCACGCCAGGAAATCCGCACTTTCTTCGCCCAAAATCCAGAAAACGGCACAACTCTGCCGTAGAACCATCCCCAAAGATTTCTTCACAAGTTAGAATGAAGATTTTTCGAACTGGAAGCCGAAAATTTACCAAAAAGTTCCAAATAATTTACCAAATAATTCCTGGTCTTCCCGCGTGGCTCCGACAGACGCAGACTTTTACACAGCTGTGTACAACAGCTGGTCTAATTTACCCTGATAACCACAACTACTTTACCGCCAAAAATCAATCCCCACAGAAAAATAATGACTCTCTGCTCAAAATTTCGGACTAGTTTGTGTCAAAGTAACACACAGGCAGTGTCAGCAGCAATACGTATTCAATTTGGTCAAAGTATAGTAGCCGGAATCTGCTAATTCAATCAGCCTCGGCACCACATGTTTCTAATGCAAACGGTACCTGTCCTTGGTGCTGAACGCCATCCTCATAGTAAAACACACAGTATGTATGGTGAAAGCCACACGCGCGCGCTCGCTCTTTGAGCGTCCGTAAAGTACAGGGACTTGTTAAAGCTGGCCAAACCTTACAGAAAAAAATGGCATGCACTTGAGGAAGGTAGGAGTGGAGCTGTCAACGGTCTACGATAAATTCACAATGGCAGTGGCTACATGTTACGTTGCATTCGGGCAAGCTGATTCCGCCTACATGAAAATCCAGGCTCTAATATAGCTTATTTTACGCTTTTCATAGACTGCACCGATTACATACGCTGTATGCTGTTGTATATGAACCATTTAGTCGTCTGGCTACGAATTATGTAATGTCAAAACGGCCGATTACGCCCCAGGCTTGCAGGCATTCTTCCCAACAAGTGCAAACGGTGCCTGTCCTTGGTGCTGAACGCCATCCGCACAATCTTAAACGCATAGTGTGGTGAACACCACACGCGCACTCACTTTTTAGGCGTCCATGAAATACAAGAACTTGTAAAAGTTTGACAAACCCTACGAAAAAAATAGGTATGCTTTTGAGGGGATTAGAGTGTAGAGTGTAGAGATCCCAAGTGTCCATAGGCGACAATTCTCCGTGAAGTTTTATATTTTTCAGATTGAGAACAGTGTAGTGTAAACTATGTAAACAGTGTGTGATCACTTAACAACTGGTAACAACGTTATCGTAAAAATGGCTAAATCCCTGGTCTAATAATCTAGCCTGACTAAAAAATCGCGCTCCTGGTGGCCACCTGCCCAGAAGTTTGTCACCCCCCTTGGGGAAACAGTTGCAGACTGACTAGTGTAAACACAGGCTACATAAAATCAACAACACGACAATCTAGATAGATGAACAAGGTCAGCTTTCATAACAATAACTTTCATTTACTACATATTATTCATTTGACAAGGTATCGCAGTAGGTGCAAACCACAATCCCAAAAGATACTTGCAACCATTATGCACAACAGCCACCTGATATCTGCTTTGAGAACCTCGGCTACCAGACAACTACCTAAACCTACGGCCTATTCCACAGGATTGTAAAAGTAGGGATGTTTCTAAAATATGTTATGTGGCCACAGTATGAAACATAACACTCTTGCCTAATTTTCCTATTCATTTATTTTAGCTGTTTATTCTGTAGTAGAATAAACACCTTCCACACACACGCAAACCTGTCCTTGGTGCTGAACACCTTCCACACACAGGCAAACCTGTCCTTGGTGCTGAACACCTTCCCCACACAGGCAAACCTGTCCTTGGTGCTGAACACCTTCCCCACACAGGCAAACCTGCTCTGGTGCTGAACACCTTCTACACACAGGTAAACCTGTCCTTGGTGCTGAACACCTTTCAAACACAGGCAAACCTGTCCTTGGTGCTGAACACCTTCCACACATGTTCACAAGCAAACCTGCCTTGGAGCTGAACACCTTGCCCACACAGGTAAACCTGTCCTTGGTGCTGAACACCTTCCTAACACAGGTAAACCTGTCCTTGGAGCTGAACACCTTCCTCACACAGGTAAACCTGCCCTTGGTGCTGAACACTATTGCTTTCCTCACACAGGTAAGACCTGTCCTTGGTGCTGAACACCTTCCCCACACAGGCAAACCTGTCCTTGGTGCTGAACACTATAGCTATCCAAACACAGGCAAACCTGTCCTTTGTGCTGTCCTGTCCAAGGACCACACCAAGAACCACACCACACAATGCCTTCGCAATTACTTTATTGAACTTGAATGCATTTTTATGTTCATTACAATGCTTTATTTCAAACAGATTGGCTCCTCCCAACTTTGTCGATGGAGTCTGCATGGAGGAGTTAGTTTTCACTGTACCTATATTTCCATTCCATCATCAACATGATTTATAGGTCACGCTTCTCTGGTGTGCTAGCTCGAAGTCTCAATCAGACTCCTTTGCAGGATAGATAGATAGTAGAAATCGGTCAAGGGAACATAGAAAACTGGACCCTCTATGGCCTGTCCCTTGGCAAGCTACTTTATTCTAGGCCGATTTCTACCATTTATTCAGCCTGCAAAGGAGAGTGGTGGAGACTAGCTACCTCGTGCCACCCCCACTCCCTGTCAACCTGATAATTTTGTCACTCTGTTGGCTACCTCAGACTGTTCGAATGTCTTCACGGCCACCATTGCGCCGTGGTGATGCCTTCCTCAAACTGTTGGAAGTTGATGAAGCCAACGTCGGGGTCGTGGATGTGAGCTTCATAAAACTCACCGCTGTAAAAAAACGGAAATACTGCTTAAAGGCTGGCCATGTGCGGAAATATGGCACCAAGAGACTAGCCTTTACCAGGCTTTGGCCTTTGTGAGATGGCTGGAAAGAGTACAAATTGGTCAAATAAAGAGATAATATGCGGACAAAAAAACAACAACAAAAATATGGAGACAAGAGACTGTCTTTAGACCTAAACTAATAAGCATCTTTACTCAGAAAACTAACACAGAGATATCATGGCAATTTTACTACTGTACTAGGTAGTGATACAGTTTATCTGCACTGATGCTTCTGCTTGAGGATTTTTAGTTCTACCCTTTGTTCTCTTGTTAGATGACGCAGATACTCACTACATAACGACTACCATGGACCCATCTGGCACGCTGAAAGCCATCATCCATTGGTCCTCATCCTCGTATGGGCCGTCTATCTCCACACGAACAGAGCCTTCTGGGATGAACTTACTGACAAGAACAAGACAACAAGAAAACATCATAGTTGTGGCCCAAAGTTTCAACCCTTGTCTTTTATCACTTGAATATTCGTCATGTCTGGTCAAAAAACGTCAAGCTATCCTTTCAAAGATTAAAGAAAGTTTTTGACAGCACCGTCGTATCTGTTCAAAAACTTTAAGCTATCACTTCAACGATCGGTGAAAGCTCTTGACATCATCCTCATTTCTATCCAAAAAACTTCAAGCTGTCCCTTCAATGATTGAAGAAAGTTCTTATCGACAGCGCAATACTATGTTCAAGTTCAGATATTGCTACACCCCAGAAGTGTGCTCCTTACCTGAAGTGCCCCATGATGTAGTACATCGGTTGTTTGTAGAACTCGTCCTTCTTGCTGTCTACAATGATGGCGGCGTCCACCTCATTGTGAACCCAGTTGGGTCCCCCGCTCATGTTCAAGGCCAGGTTCCAGTCTGTCCAGCCGACCACCCAGTGTTTCAAGTTCTTGGAAGAATATTATGGAACACAGAGCCGATTAGTTTGACTCCTTATCAAACATAGCATCAAGATAGCTGACGAAAGTGTTGACTTGGCATTTCGTCATGTACTACCTGTTATTGAACTGCAACTAAACAATCAAAAGAAAGATCCCAATATACAGTTTGCAGTAGTAAAGGTTCTAAAGTGAAAAGAATAGCCGGAGGGAAAGGATATATGCCTGACCGGAGTTCCACATCTGTGGAAATTGGGGAGGAGGGTAGTTTTCTTAGAGGTTTGAGCAAAGAAAAATGGGGAAATCATCGTCATCATCGAGAAGAAACATTTTAATTTGGCACTCGTGACCAAGGACTACATGGTATGTAAGATCAGCACCGACTGATCGACTGATGATCTTCCACCTAGTGACAGTGGTATTAGGAAAATCGTAGAACTCGCTTATATGTGGCTACTACACCTTTGAGGATGGTCTAGTCTTTCCTGGTGAATGTCTGTGCTGCAGTCATACCTGATGAATGTCTGTACTGTACAAATGTCTAGCCTCCTTCGCAGTCTTGTTGGGCGTCGGCGTTATTTTTTCTCTGAGCGACGCGAGTAATATGCCGCCGCGAGGGACGATTTGCTGCCGAGGGAGTTTTTGCCACGGAGAGAAGGTTTCGCGCTCCAACAAGTTGCAGCAAATCGTCCCTCGCGGCGGCATATTACTCGCGTCGCTCAGAGAAAAAATTACGCCGACGCCCAACAAGACTGCGAAGGAGGCTAATAAATATCTGTGGTGTACTATGATCTTACCTGACGAATGTCTGTGCTGTACTCCACCGCCCGGTTCCAGTTGCCCAGGAGAACCTTGTCGTCCCACGGCCAGAAGCCCTGACACGCCTCGGTGGACAGCACGAAGTAGTCCGGCAGGTCGTCATGAGTGAAGGACAGCACGTTCGCAGGAACCAGCTGGTCCATGTACCAGTGGACAGCTATACCGTCCACGTACTTTGCTGCCGTGCCATTGTTCAGCACCTGAAATCAGACAGTATCTTTTCCTGTCAGAAAATTACTTGCATTGTGAATGGTTTGAGTAGATTTTACATGTAGCTTTAGTTAGATTGTATGCATCTACTGATGAATTGCCATTTTCTTGAGACCATGTTAGAAGGTTTACAAAATGATTTTTATGAGGTACGCAATAATAGCAATGTAAATAGATTATGTCCAGCACATTACAATTATAGTCTGTGACTTTGAGTGAAGCATAATGGCGGAACCTACCGTCGTAGCCCAGCCTGGTAACCAGAGTCGGTTGTCATCCAGGATCATGAGGCTGATGTTACTGTAGCCAGCCTGGTCAAGGGCAGGGCCAAGGTCACTGGCGATCCAGTCTCGCTGCGACTCTGAAGACATTTGGAGGAATTGAGACGGATTGAAAAATATTCAAATGATGCGTTTAGGCACATGTACGTCTGTAGACCGCAGTTTGTCTTGTGGACTTCAGTTTGGTAGGTTTGTTCATCAAAGAAAAATACTGACTGGTTCGTGAATGATTGTATGCAGTTAAGAAGTATTCACTTCAATGTTGCTAGTCGAAGTCAATGCATAGTTTACGAGCATTTGGCCTATTATTCTTATCAAAAAGCGAAGATTTTTTTGTCAGAAACATGCTCATTTATTTATTTGAGTGGGTTGCTAAATGCCATCATAGCCAAACATCTCTAGGTAAAGCCTGTGACATCTCGCTCGGTATTTTGGCTAAAAGCAACAAAGTGATTGTCAATCTTCGGTGTCAGTATAACAGACGACATTGCCTACCTGCTGTCCACCCCATGGCCTGGAACGGAAAGTGAGAGATTTCTCCATCCGTCGGTTCGTTCTGTGTCGTCAGACCCCAAAAATCCACACCCTGCTTCTTGTACTCGTCAAGAAACCTGGAGTAGCAAGGAGGTATGACGGATTAAGGTCTAAATCAGCCGGACTCAACTGAGTAGATTTACAAGTGTTACTCTATCTGCATTGCACTGCTATCAAAGCGACAGGCACATGCACAAGTACTTACTTGACAAAGTAGTTAGCCCAAGCCTTGTGGTACGGGTTTCCAGCCTTCCCCTTCAGAGTCCCTTTTCCTGTTTCGTTGTTGCTGGTCTTCATCCAGGCAGGAGCTGTCCATGGGCTCCCGAACAGGTTGATCTTCCGCTCACTCATCTGCATGGCGCTTTTGATGACGGGAATCTGTGTAGCAAAAGAAGTGTAGAGTATTGAGAAAACCATCGCTTCAGACGAGCAACATCTCTTGGTCACGTAATAGCAAACCTTTGAAGCAAGGAAGCGTCAATTCATCACGCAGAATATTGATAAACTTCCAAACCATAGCATTTTATTCACACCTTGTACTTCATATCCTCTTCAGCCAGAGCAAACTTGGCGAGTTCCAAATCCTCTGGTGTGTCATCATACGTGTACGGCCTGGTGGAGAAATCACAGCTTCCCATCGGCACCCTGCCCAGGGTGTACTCGATACCTAAAGAATGGGCAACGATTGTACGTGAATGAATCTCCATGCAAGCAGATTCATTCGGAGGCAGGGGACGATCAAATTGGCCTTCCGAGTTACGACCAAATTTTCCCCCATAGGTGGCGTATTGGATAATTTCCAATCAGATTCTGTGGTAAAAAGGGAGTCTATATTGGCCTCCGGTATCAATTGGCTGATCATGAGTTCTGACGAAAACATGACATTGTACAAGGCTAATGGCCATCCGACTACTAATGATAGTAGGGCAGCCAAAAGTTACAGGGGTCCGATGGGTAGAGACACCCCTTGCCCCACAGAATCTGCCTGGAGATTACGTATTGGATATTGCCTTGCCAGTTTGATACTGTCTTGCCAATACAAGCAGGTTGATACTGTATTACAACCACCGAAATATCTGCCTTGACTGAGTTTTAGATCACTCCTCACGCTTGAACTCACCTTCAGTCGGGCTGAAGTAAGCGGAGATGAGGTTCTTCCGTGCTCCCTCAGACAGACTCATGATGTTCATAGTCGCGGCATCAGTGAAGGCACCGCCGAATCCCCGGATCTTCTGGTACGTAACGTTCTTCTTAACGGTCCAAACGTTGAAGTCTGTGCAGACGCAATACAGATGCAAGCATGGTAAAAAGGGCAGATGTATTAAAAACTGTAGGTTGGGAATGTAGACGAGTCGCATTTCTATTGAAATATTTCCTATTAATATGTAGGTTACATCTAAAAAAGCACTTCACATGACTTTCACCACTTAACTCAAGTGCCATGTGCATTGTACTGTTGCGATTTCAATAAATCAAATCACAAGCCCTTGTATTCATTTTATTGCCCCTCGACACTCACTGACTCAGCTCCTAGAATTGTTGAAACGTATAAAGAACTCCGCTTACTCGGGTCTCGGGTGTCGTTAGACTTGGCAGTCATGTTGATGACGATTTTTTCGAACCTCTTTCCTCCTGGAGTGGTCATGTACATGGCGGCCTGGCCCTTGGGTAGTTTTGTGTTGGGCTCCATGTTGTCGCAGTAGGTGGCGTTACACACGCACACGAAACCCCCATGCTGGAAATCTTTGGCCACGCACGGCTTTCTGTCTCCAGTTACTGAAAAGTTCACGATGAATCTAAATACAAACTTGTACGTAAAAATGACCACCTCAACATAAGGACCACCTATTTGTGACCACTACTTGGTGATCCCTTTGACACAGTGACATATGAAGTCAAAATCCTCACGGTCTATAGCGACCACTTACCTGTCCACATAAATGGGATTTTATCGGACCCTGAGTTCATTGACTCCAGAGTACACTTGCCAATAACAAATTTGCATCGAAAGATCAATCTGACACGTTAACGCTTGGGATCGGTGTGTCTTCGTTGGTCATTGCCGCCGAGGTCATCAAATTCGTACCAGAACTAACGTGGTTTACTGCTAGCACTAAAATCTCGTTAAACGTACTTCTCATAAAGCATTTATGGTTCGTGTTTTCAGAATTACTTTGAAGAACGTTAACAATCATTTTATTTGTAAATATTTCATACCACAAATCTTACACCCATGAACGTTGGCCTTTGATAACGTGGCGAATATCTATCCCCTGAGAACCATGTGACACATGGCACATCGCCATAGATCTAGACCTGGCGCTAATCGCTATCTAATAACGTGGCAAGGTTTGTTGATCCTACCCTGTCCTGTCCTTTGCTTCAGTCATGTAAACAAAACTTTGATCCCCCGGGACTTATAATACTTTCACCAAACTGAGACATATATAGATAGAATATCATCAACATACGAGATTCCATTTAGTAAAATGCCATGGTCAAAGACGTTAGCAACGTTAGCAATCCTATGAACATAAGATTGTCACCTGGCTGTGCGTGCTGAACAAGGCATAACGCCGCCACAGCACACAGTACAAGGACACGCCCCCTCCCCGCCATCATGCTGCTTCATGTGGAACAGTAAACTATGGCAGCAGGTGGGACAGACACAACGGGCAAACTTTGGGATTTTCTCACGTTACTAACTACAGACCTCAGACGTCTAAGTTTTTGACCTTTTTACTTATCAATAACTATGAACATTTAATTATCAATTTCAAAGAAAATGAAGAAGACATGTAGGTCCATACAGAAAAGCAGGATTTGGTACAGCCTTGGTAAATAATTAAGGTTACATGAGGTCATGGGGTAAAGGGTAATCATAAGACACACCCGTTTTGTAGTAAACAACTACGCAAAGGGCAAGAAGTTAAATACGACTGACTATTCATGTTTCCTGATGTGGTCGTGTACCCCATGAGCCAAAAGTGTTGAAAGACAAGAAAATTTGAGAATAGTATACTTTGAAATGGTATACAATAAGGTGGTATACAATGCACCATATGGTTTGTGCTTCACACCAGAACACATCAGTATAGTAGTAACATGTTGCCATTTGCGTAGCTGTTAAGTACAAGGCAGGTGAGTCTTATGACCACTCTTTACCCTATGACCTCATGCAACCTTAATTATTTACTAAGTCTATACCAAAATCTGTATTTCTGTGTATCGAGCAATATGTCTATTATCAATTACTGAATTTTCATAGTCATTGATGAAAAGGTCAAAGACTTGCCTGAGGTCTGTAGTTAGTAACGGGAGAAAATCCCAAAGTTTGCCCGTTGTGTCTGTCCCACCTGCTGCCATAGTTTACTGTTCCACATTAAGCAGCGTGATGGCGGGGAGGGGGCGTGTCCTTGTACTGTGTGCTGTGGCGGCGTTATGCCTTGTTCAGCACGCACAGCCAGGTAACAATGTATCTTAACGTCCATACGATTGCTAACGTTCGATGTCTTCGCCCTAAGTAAATGGCTATTTCGTATGTGGATTGAATTCCATCCATTTGAGCCACCGCTATGTGAGATTGTAAGGCTCGGGGATCAAAGTTGTGTTTACAGGACCAAACCGTTGAATAAACCTTTGTCGTCGCGATCGGAACACGTGTAAATTCGAGCGCCACTTCTCTGTACCCTTGAGTGACAGAGCAGGTAAATAATTGAATAAACTTAGATTTAGATGCATTCCAGCATAGGAGATCCTCATCATAGCATGGAAATTCATCTGTGTTGGTATAATACATTATGACGAAAAGGCCAACACTAAGTAAAATGGGACTCACCCTGTTTTCAATTGCAAAATATGTTTTTCGTGGATGTGTACATAAGGTTTAGTACAATAGATTTACAATAATTGACCTTCCAAGTTATGCTAGAATGCGACACGCCAATGCATGGTTTGATGAGACGTACTTTATTCAACTTCTAGTGGTAGGAAGAACCCATTTCCCTATAATAACGGTAGGTCCACGATTTTCATTGATGACTAAGACCTTTCACTGTTGATTGGAGCCAAAATATTGACATCTTGTGCCTTTGTCAGTAACTGGAGACCGAAAGCCGTGCGTCGCCAGAGATTTCCAACATGGGGGTTTCGTGTGCGTGTGTAACGCCACCTACTGCGACAACATGGAGCCCAACACAAAACTACCCAAGGGCCAGGCCGCCATGTACATGACCACTCCAGGAGGAAAGAGATTCGACAAGATTGTTCTCAACATGACTGCCAAGTCTAACGACACAGATCCGAGTAAGATGCATTTTTATTACCTTTATTACCTTTCTATAGGAGCTTTGTCAGTAAGTGTCAGCTCATTGGCCAAACGGAATTTACTTACATGCATGTCTCTTTTGATGACATTTAAGTGTAAAATATTCCAACTGTCACATGTACATTCTCAACCTGCAGTTTTTCGTACATCTGCCCTTCATGATTGCAAATGTGTTATATCGTCTACACAGACGACAACGTTTGGACCGTCAAGAAGAACGTTACGTACCAGAAGATCCGGGGATTCGGCGGTGCCTTCACTGATGCCGCGACTATGAACATCATGAGTCTGTCTGAGGGAGCACGGAAGAACCTCATCTCCGCTTACTTCAGCCCGACTGAAGGTGAGCTCAAGCGTGAGGAGTGATCTAAAACGTAGCAGATACTTCGGTGGGTGCAATGCAGTATCAAATGGCATTGGCAAGACAGCATCAAACTGACAAGGCAGTATCCAATACGTAATCTACAAGCAGATTCTGTGGGACAAGGGGTGCCTATATTGGCCCACCGCCGAATGTGTCCGTTGCACTTCTGTAACCACTATCACTAGTAGTCGGATGGCGAAGCCTCTGTAAATGATTTCGTCAGGCGTCATGATCAGCTGCAGCCAATGGATACAGGCGGCCAAAGTAGACTCCCCTTGCACCAGAGAATCTGTACAGCATATTGGAGATTATTATCGAATACGCCACCCAAGGAGGCAAATTTGATCGTACCTCGGGTGGCCAATTTGATCGTCCCATGCCCCTGGATGAATCCGCTTATAGATAACTCGAGGAGCACATCCTTTCCTGTTGTTGTCTGACTGCTGTTGCGTGAACTTACATCGCAAACAGCTGCTTGGGTTCTGGCCCTGTTACAAAGATACCATTGCCAAGAATCTCTACCGTAACGCTAGCTTGTCACATGCGGACTATCTTCCGACGAGAATGAGCGGGATAACAGAGACAACAACAACTTGTCGATGAAATAGCTAACTACACTTTAGCCCAATAGCCATATCAACATAATCTCCAAGCAGATCGTAGTGTGGCGTATTGGACCCTCTCTGGCCAATTGATACTGCCTGGCCAATTTGATACTGTCTTTTGCCACACTAGAGTCTGCTTAGAGATTGATATCAACATACATATCATAACGAACACGTACAATCGTTGTCCATTCATCAGGTATCGAGTACACCCTGGGCAGGGTGCCGATGGGAAGCTGTGATTTCTCCACCAGGCCGTACACGTATGATGACACACCAGAGGATTTGGAACTCACCAAGTTTGCTCTGGCTGAAGAGGATATGAAGTACAAGGTGTGAACAAAATGCTATGGTTTAGAAGTTTATCAATATTCTGCGTGGTGAATTGACGCTTGCTTGCTTCAAAGGTTTGCTATTACGTGGCCAAGAGATGTTGCCTGTCTTAAACGATGGTTTTCTCAATAATATACACTTCTTTGCTACACAGATTCCCGTCATCAAAAGCGCCATGCAGATGAGTGAACGGAAGATCAACCTGTTCGGGAGCCCATGGACAGCTCCTGCCTGGATGAAGACCAGCAACAACGAAACAGGAAAAGGGACTCTGAAGGGGAAGGCTGGAAACCCGTACCACAAGGCCTGGGCTAACTACTTTGTCAAGTAAGCACTTGTGCATGCACATGTGCCTGTCGCTTTGATAGTAGTGTAATGCTGAGTAACACTTGTAAATCTACTCGATTGATTCCGTGCTGATTTCGGCCCTATTTCGTCATGCTTCCTTGCTTCCCCAGGTTTCTTGACGAGTACAAGAAGCAGGGTGTGGATTTTTGGGGTCTGACGACACAGAACGAACCGACGGATGGAGAAATCTCTCACTTTCCGTTCCAGGCCATGGGGTGGACAGCAGGTAGGGAATCTCTTCTGTTATACTGACACCGAAGATTGACAATCACTTTGTTTCTTTTATCCAAAATACAGATGCGATATGTTACACAAAGACTAAAACTGGAGATCTTTGGCTATGTTTCTGACAGAAAATCTTCGCTTTTTGATAACAATAATAGGCCAAATGCTAGTCGGCTATGCATTGACTTCGACTAGCAACATTGAAGTAAAAATAGTGAACTGCTGACTGCATGCAACCATTCACGATTCTTTCAGTATTTTCCTTTGATGAAAAAAACTACAAAACTAAAGTCCACAAGGCATACATGTACCACGGTCTGCAGTGCATAAACTCATCATTAATTTTTAATATTTTCAATCACTTTTATCCCCTAAATGTCTTCAGAGTCGCAGCGAGACTGGATCGCCAGTGACCTTGGCCCTGCCCTTGACCAGGCTGGATACAGTAACATCAGCCTCATGATCCTGGATGACAATCGACTCTGGTTACCAGGCTGGGCTACGACGGTAGGTTCCGCCATTATGCTTCACTCAAAGTCACAGACTATAATTGTAATGTGCTGGACATCATCTATTTACATTGCTATTGTTGCGTACCTCATAAAAATCATTTTGTAAACCTTCTAACATGGTCACAAGAAAATGGAAATTCATCAGTAGATGCATACAATCTAACTAAAGCTACATGTACAATCTACCCAATTTCACAATGCAGGTAATTTTTTGACAGGAAAAGATACTGTCTGATTTCAGGTGCTGAACAATGGCACGGCAGCAATGTATGTGGACGGTATAGCTGTCCACTGGTACATGGACCAGCTGGTTCCTGCGAACGTGCTGTCCTTCACTCATGACGACCTGCCGGACTACTTCGTGCTGTCCACCGAGGCGTGTCAGGGCTTCTGGCCGTGGGACGACAAGGTTCTCCTGGGCAACTGGAACCGGGCGGTGGAGTACAGCACAGACATTCGTGAGGTAAGACTACAGCACAGACATTCGTCAGATAATGTTACAGCACAGGCGCTATGTTGATGAGAAAGAATCAAACTTACCGGCTCTGTGTTCCATAATGTTTTTCCAAGAACTTGAAACACTGGGTGGTCGGCTGGACAGACTGGAACCTGGCCTTGAACATGAGCGGGGGACCCAACTGGGATCACAACGGGGCGGACGCCGCCATCATTGTAGACAGCAAGAAGGACGAGTTCTACAAACAACCGATGTACTACATCATGGGGCACTTCAGGTAATGAACACACTTCTAGGGTGTTGCAATATCTGAACTTGAACATACGCAGTTACTACTTCAAATGAAGCTTCATTCTTTGAAGTTTTTTTCGAATTGACATGAAGATAATGTCCAAAGCATTCAAGTGATCGGAAGAAAATGATGATGTTTTCTTGTTGACTCGTTCTTGTCAGTAAGTTCATCCCAGAAGGCTCTGTTCGTGTGGAGATACAAGGCCCACCATACAAGGAGGAGGACCAATGGATGATGGCTTTCAGCTTACCGGATGGGTCCATGGTAGTCGTTATGTAGTGAGTATTTACACCATCTAACAAATAGGATGAAAAAATACGGCCATGTGATTTGATTATATGGATGGCATCCGCGCGCGAATGAATTTGCGGCAGTTTCTGAAAAAAAAGTTTTCGACCATACTGTAAATTGTACAAAACAGTTGCAAAATGAGCAAATATATACCATAACTTGCAAAACAAATATTTGAAAAGGATACCAATGTCGTAGAATGCCAAAATCAAACGAAAAAGACGAAAATGTACCGAAATAACAGTGGCTTCAGTTTGCTGAGTCCAAGTAAAAAATCATTGCCTCTAGATAGAGCTGTGTACCTAAACAAATTTTAGGTACAGGTACAGGTACACAGGTTTAGGTACAGGTCCGGACCTGAACCTGTACCTGAACAATTCGACCAATTTATATGCTCTTCTGAACTCCTTCAATAACAAAAAAACATTAATAAACTTGATAGTTAAGGTTTATTCTTTGTTTATGGCGAATGCTCAGATGAAATATAGGCAAAACTAAAGATGTTTTTGTTTTCATGAACACACTGTCCTTACACAGGGACCGATTTGAGGTCACAAATAGGCATAAAATTGGTGTGAAATTGTTTAGGTACGGTACCGGTACTGAGGGATTAGGTATTTTGGACCTGTACCTAATCAATTTTTCCAGTACAGTATCGGTACTGCGTACCGGTACACAGCTCTACCTCTAGAGTTTGTTCCCATAGACATTACCACTATCCCCATATTTCCACACATGATCACCTTAAAGGCTTTTGAGCAGACTCGTATTTCCGTTTTCTCGACAGTGGTTTTTTTGTTGAAGCTCACATCCACGACCCGGACGCTGGGTTCATCAACTTCCAACAGCTTGACGGAGGCATCACCACGGTACAATGGTGGCCGTGACATTTCAACACGGCAATTTATCAGCTTGACAAGGAAGCTTATTGGAGCTAGCACACCGGAGTAGTGGTCTATGATCATATTGGTGGTCAAATGAAATACTAGATAGGTATATGTAGGTATAATGGAATCTGAATACCATGTACAGTAATATATGGTGTTTATTCGATGTATCAAAAGAACACATTGGCAGAAAATTCAATACACAGCTGAAGTAATATTCAAAGCTCAGGTGTCTTTACCACTGTTTATAGGAATCCAATGCAATTTCTGGGCTTCAAAACAGAAAAAAATGTATTCTGGATGAGGAAATCTGTCTGATATTGATATTTACTGCCATTTCTAAGCACATTTTTGTAATCATTTCAGACTTGAAGTGTTTGAAATAGCCCCAAAACAAGCATCTCTCTATTTTTGGGTACCGCCCATAAATACCTAGAACCAGCCTATAATATAAAACAGGCAACCATTTTACCTACACCACACTGCATTTTTGCCTCACAGATATCAGTATGCTATGGTATAGTGTGGGATAGGATTGATTCAAGCTACTATCATATTATAAGGATGACAAGAAAATTGACTTTGAAAATCCAGTTTGCCACCCTGAAATTACATTGCATGCCTTTAAGGCTCTAAAATATATGATACATGACTGAAATATTTAAAATAACATTAAAATAGCCTGCCTTCTACCATTCAGTGGAGGCACATTTGTAATTTCATCAAACAAAAATTTGCACTTATCATAAGACACAAAATATAGACAACATGTATCATTTCTTGCATAGGCTAACATTATAACTTTCACACGTGCACATTACATATTAACTAGATACTGAATCTTAATCTTTAAAATGGTGTACTCAATATGCTGTATATTATTGAACATTAGATTTGAATGTCCAGATCTATATTCTTTAAAGTATTTTTATTTATTCACTTACATATTTCAATGTATATTGGGACATTGATTAAATACTTTCTAACAATTATCTTGTAAAATTCTCACACTGCAATGCAAAATCAAAATTTTACTTCTAGACTATTATATACTTTTATAAAAAGTATTTTGGCAGTAAAAATCATTTTCAAGTATTGCTGTAATAAGATTGACAGTGGTCAATCACTTATCTTTAGTAAAAAGCCAGTGCTATTAAAACTGAAATCTGGATTAAACTTGATTGTTGAAAAAGAATTACCATGTTAAACATATTTCTTAATACATTACACAGTATGTCTGGTTATTATGTATCTATACATATTGTAACACTATCAAATCTTCAAAATATGTACAAACTTTTCAGATAGCAGCATTGTTTTTTCATTTTCCTTGCAGGTAACAATTATTAATGATAGTTATAAAAATGTTGTATCAATAGCCTAATTATAGCATTCTTTGTCATAAGATATATAAACTTACTCTTCACAAATAATATGAAATGAAAAAATATTTCATCTTTGTGCATATAAGGAACACACTGTTAGAACCAAGTCTTTTATTCAGTCAGAATTGCCCTGAGGAAGGTGACAAACAGTCACCGAAACATTGGCTGAGTAAAAGACCTGGTTGTGCAGGTGCATGTAATTCTCGATGTTAATGCAGAAGAAAGTATTTCTTTCCCTGACCTGACACGTAGCCTTACGCAGGCCACCAGACGGCAGTCATGATGGAATGACTGGGTGAAGTCAGATCCATGAAGCCCACATCTGGGTCATGCAGGGAGACTTCAATGTCTCGGTCAGACCTGTTGATTAAAACAGATAAAAAACAATGAAGAAAATATGATTTTGCAACAGTTATCTTAGGCCCTTTTCCCACTAGGATTAAATTTTTCATATCAAGACAAATTTTGCTTTGATCGAGCCGGATCCGAGCCGGATCAAAGCACTTCAATTCAGCTTGAACCGGACAATTTTATCCCAGTGGGAATGGGGCCTTAATGTATCGTTACCATTGTTTTCTCTTTGCAAAATTGTCACATATGGATACATGTACACATCAAAACCTGTATGTGCCCTAAGGTAAGACAATGTAGAATTCTGCAGTTTACCTGTTGAATATGACAGCCACTACACTTTTCTCTGGTGTCAGGAACGCAACAACATCCAGGTTTCCTGGGCTGGACGACTCTGGTTTAGCTTCAATTCTAACAGAACCCTCTGGGATGAATTTGCTGCAGGGTAGAAAATCAGTGTGCAATTTGTATGTATCTTATTATAATAAGGACCACAAGAACATCAGGCTAAGGCCATACCAATTTACTTAATAATTATTGGTTCTCGGATTTGTCTGCTTTCTTTTTTTCTGATTTGCCAAAAAAAAAATGCTCATATGCTCAAAATGCTTTGATCCAAACACTGTTCTTTGCCTTCCTTGTTGTTACAGTTTATCCATCTATCAATGCATTGGTTTGATAAAAAGGTTAAATTCATTGTTTGAATGATAAACCAGCCTGGCATGTTGACTTCATTGCTCCTATATATCTTTTGATGACTACAATGAACGATGCACACAACAGAAAGTTAGATACTCTGCGAAGCTTTCGAGACGCACTTTGTCTCTTCATTAACCTGGTAAAGTAAAATCTTGTTGGAGTTTTTGTCACGTGACTTAAAATGGCTCCTATCAAAGCTTTGGGCTATCACAGGATAT